TGTTGTCATCTTTTCGTTTACTTGTTTGTTGGACAGGTGGTATATGATGACGAATTGAATCTCCTCCCTACGCCTCTTCCCTCCTCTTCCCTCGTTCCTCCCTCGTCCGTCATCGTCATAGTCCTTGTCCTCCCTACTCCTCTTCCCCCCTCTTCCCTCCTCTTCCCTCGTATGGACTGCGAGTGTTAACAATGGCGACAGGGGCTTGCTGGAAAGATGGACGGTACTGGTAAGGGCATATGGGAAACCTTTCTGCTGGTTCTCAACAGGCAGCCGGTAGGGGCATACTGAAAATTTGGTACCGGTACCGGTAGGGGTATATGAAACATGTTTGAGGCCCAAACGACGCTAGGGGTTTTCTGGAAACATCATTCGTTGTCAGAGGGGCGCGACAAGGTAAGTCGGCCGTCAGAGGGGCGCAACAAGGTAAGTCGGCCGTCAGAGGGGCACGCCGCAAATACACGCAAACTTCAGGGGCATTTCGAAAATCCCCCCCCCCCAAAAAAGCAACACACTCAAAAAACTTGAAAAAGGGGAATAAAACGAGAAAGGAATGAACAAAATCTGCCACGTAGGCTAGCTGCGTGAAGCAGCGTACTCATCATAGGTATTCAAAAATTCAACAGTAAGATTTAATTAAATCGGGATTAATCAGATCACGTGTAGTGCTGTGTTCCAAAACAAAAGATAGGCAATTCACACACGACATCATAGACTGACAGGGCAAGTTACAAAAAAAAATAAAAAATCATCCCCCTACCGAGCAGTGTCGTCCTGAAGTGCCAGGACGACTCTTTTTCTTTTGTTTTGGCTGGTGCTGCCAGCCATTTTGGTCTGGCGGCGCCCGGCCTCCGAAGAATGCGGTATAGGTTATATTTCTGACTTTGCCTTCCACTCTGAAAGGTTAAGGTACTGTGGTGGTCTAAAAAAGGAAGTCCATTATCATGGGCTGTTCCCTTCTGCACCCCGTCCATCCCTTCGTTTCTTTCCTTTGTTAATTAAACTTAATTTGAAGCTTAACCCATCACTTGTTTATTGCTGGTTGTGTTGGAAAAACACGTGCTGTTTCCAGTGCTATTTGTGTAGACAATCTGTTATACCAGATATCCCTACCGTCGAGCTTCTGAACCTGTTCTTTATTGCACAGAGTGTCTGATTTACCAGGGGTTAAACCCTGGTATAACAGGGTTTTCAACCCTGGTGTAACAGGTTTTTCACCCCGGGCACCCAGTTAAGCCCATTGTGTGTGTAGAGTCTGATATACCAGATATCCCTGCCGTCGAACTCTGAACCTGTTCTTTATTGCACCAAGTGTCTGATATACCAGGGTTTTCAACGCTGGTGTAACAGGGTTTTCAACTTTTCAGCAACTTTTCACCCCTGGTACCAAGTTAAGCCCCTTGTATGTGTACACTGTGTGGAGATAAAATCTGATATACCGTGCTTTAAATTTACCAGGGGCACCCCTGGTACCAAGTTCAGCCCCTTGCATTTGTACAGATAATCTGATATACCTTTGCTTTAAATTTACCAGGGGTTAAACCCTGGTATATCAGGGTTTTCAACCCTGGTGTAACATGGTTTTCACCCCTGGTACCAAGTTCAGCCACTTGTATTTGTAATTTTGTACAGATAATCTGATATACCATGCTTCAAAAGTTTGCACCTTACATTTACCAAACTTGTTTGTGTGTGCTKTTTGTTTTGTGTGTTAAAACAATTACGCAGATGCCTTTTATCGATCCATTCAAAAAGCGCTATCCTCATTCCTATCATGGAGTTCCTCTAGGTGGCATCGGGTAAGCCTGAATGGAAAATTAAACAACTTAGCCTTTTACTATTGTTGTTTTTCTGTTTTTTTGTTGTTCTGGCTTTTGCGTTCTGGCTTTTGCTTTTTGCCAGCATAGC